GAGGGACTTGAGCGAGGGGAAGAGAAAGAATGGATTGTGGATGAGATGGAGGTGGTGTTTGAAAGGGTTGGATTTTTGGATAAGGTGATACTGCTTCAACCAATAGGATTCACGATCTTGATACTTTCTCTTACCCCTCCCTATTTCATGCCTTTTTCTTTTTCATTTTTTAATTAAGTTATTAAATTTATATCATACCATATTCATTTTGGGATCTCTATAATTTGTATCTTCCATCTACTTTCCTTTTCTCTCAATCCAAACTTAATATAGTACCGGGTGCTAACGAATGGCGATTACTAACGAAGACATCGACTAATCGATCTAAGGACTCGCGATTACTAAAAAATGTTAAACATTTTCTGGTCGGTAGCGTCAAGAGAGAACACCACAACGACATTTTGATAAATAGCTCGTTAGATAATATAAATTAACTCGCCTAAAGCGAAGGAGGAGGCATTAGGTGTAGCCTCTCTTCTGAAGGGGGTGGCGGCGATTGATTTTGTCCAGATATTCTCTCCTCGGCTAGTAGTGACTGCAAGTCGCTGCCATTTGCCAAGCTGTTGAACTCGACTGCTTTGGAAGGTGCAGTTGGATAGCGTCTTTGACAGAAAGTCATTAATCTTTTGACTGATTGTAAGTATTTGCGAGTTGTCTCGTCGTTCATGATGTGTGCAACACTGTTGGTGTAGATTTTTTCACGGGCTGAACGTTCATGGATACCAACCATAGTAACACCAATAGGCCAAGGTGCGTTGCCGATGGCCAACTTAATGTAATGGTCCATTGCGGCTAGGTAGTCCCGCTTCATGCAGCACTCAACGACCACTAGCAATGCTTGACGGATATCGTCTGGAAGAACCTATGAACAAAATGCATCATGTATTAAATGCACTGTGGTTGTGTAATCCAGAATGCAGATTCGGACCAATAATAGAAACACCTTTGAACAACCAAGTTTAGACATGCATATAGGCTATCTTGGGCAGTTTTGATTTAGTACCTAAGGAAACAAACCATCAAGACTTCCCAGTTGAAATTCATGAATGAGAAATATGAATATATATATATATATATATAAAATAACTGCCACATTCAAGTCTGTCTTTTTATATAAAGAACGAAACATTATTTATAGGGAAGAAAAAAAAACTACAAGAGAGAAGGCA